TATTGATGATACTGAACCCCAAACTGATGAATGACCTCACCCAATGGTTTCATGTAGAAGTTAAACAGAGAGAGGCGACGGCATAGAACCTTGAGGCACAATCTCTCCCCTCCTGTCAACAGCCACCAAGGAAGGAGGTGAACCAGTTCAACAGAGTGCCCCCCACTCCTGATCTCTGCAGTCCATCCAGAAGGATGCTGTGGTGAACAGTATCAAAAGCCGTTGAGAAATCAAGGAGCATAAGCACCATCCCCATTCTGGATCCGCCAAAGGTCACTGAGAAGTACAACCAGCTTTAAATGTTTATTTTAGAGAATCAAGAGAAATATTCTCATCACCAATATACAACCCCCGCACAAATAAAAATGACTACAGTAGTGTATTTAAAAGATTGGATTATTAGTTTTCGGCTCTTATTTTTGCAAAATGTGTAGAAACCATACAAAAGGCATTTTTTAATCTCTACATATGCCTCAAATGGATAGACACGTCCTTCTCTCCACAGCCCTACAGGATGGGAAACAAAAGCTCTCACTCTTGTCTTCATTATCAGATAGTATCCTAGGCAGTTAAAAAGATTGGCATCCTTGCATATTTCACCATAATGATCTATTTCCAAGAGAGCAATCAACAGACCAGCAACTCACTTTAACTGAGAATTTGTCACACATCCTATTTTCCCACAAGTTTATCTCAATCCTGAATTTTACAATACATTTGGGAGGAGATTCTGACTGTCTTTCTTGGATACTTCCAAGTAGGCTATAATGTTCGCTTTGAAGTTTGGGAAATGAATCCATTCACACAACCATAATATTCCCAAATAATGAATATCCATGTAGGCAGTAATATATTTCCAACAGTGTCCTAGGGTGGGGGCCGGCTGCCTGCCTGTTTGCAGTATACTATAAACATCACAGAGCCTTTTCTCTAGCGTCTGTAACGCAAATCATGCTACACATTTTGACTCATTTTTACCTACAGATGTATAAAATGTTTCAAGAAGAGCCATTCCAAATATACTGGAAGTGGCCCAATCTTGAATCAATGGAGGTTGGAATGGCCAATTTCAAAGCTGAACCTGTGCACATTTAAACTGCCTATTCTGAAATTGGAATAGATGCTCCAAGGTTACATCTTGTCCTTAAAATTTTTTGCATACCTTTAAGTTTGCCATTCTAACAGAATGTAAAAAAAAAAAAAAAAGACCTGAATCCCACTACAAGCAGATGCAGTCAGCTAGGCTCATGCTATGCAAATGTACTTTTACAGGGCACAATAACCTATAAAAAAGCATTAGCCTTTGAATACTGCATATTGGCTGTATTTGCACACAATACTAAGCTAAACAGTTTGACTAATAAACACACACTCTCATTTTACCATCCCATCCCCTCACATATGGTTCTGCAGTTTCTAGCATCATCCAAACATGAAAGGGCTATAGGTGCAAGCTCTGGAAATCAGGGCTTGCAACCTACAACAACCAAACCTGAACTTAGTATCTTGTATGAACACGATCACTTTATATGGCCTTCAGCTGAGCCCACTGCAGTGAGAGCAGGACATTGTTGTGGAGAACCACAGTTTCCCATCTGTTTTGATAGATGCATTCTGAGCATATTTTCCAACTCAGTGCAAGTAAAAGCAGTAAACAAAAATAAAATAGCAAACATTATTTTAAAAGTAGAATCTTACTACAGCTATGTAGCATGAGCAAGAATAAACTACGTTCATGGAAATTGGCTGAAGTACTATTACATATTACTTCCCATTGTATTTATGAAGTCTTAATTTTTTATAGCTCTATAATCTATTTAGAAAGCCTTGGCTCTTATTGGTCTCTTTAACAAGCTACAGAAATATTGTCATACAAAACCAAAAGAACCTTTTTTCCCTATCAAAACAAAGTCTTTGCCCCCATCCAACAAGACCAACATCTGATTACTAAGCATAAGGTCTGTAATCTATCTTGGGAGAGTGGCTATTTCTCCCAAGGGCACTGCCATGAGACTGATGAAATTTATATATGCTTAACTTGGCTATTAAACATACCCATTTTCTTGATATGCACAAACCATAAATAAGCAAGCAGACTGCATTTAAACAAAGTTAAAACTAACCAGGCTTAGTATACTTTGTGCATATAGCTACGAAGTCTTGTAACTATCCTGAGTATCATGCGTAAATGTACCAATGATATTAGCAAGAAAACTGGAAAATAAGGGTTTATTTATCAAACTGAATAAATCTTCAATAAGCATCCAGCTGTAACAATGTACAGATTCCATCTGCCCAGAATAATGGTAATGTTATTCTACCTAATGGATTTCTGGCTGGTGTGAGCCAAGTTTTAGCAGTGATGAAATTCCCCTTTTTAGAACATTTACTTCTCAGACTTCTTCTTGCCATCATGGTCTTTTGAAGGAAACAGATAGGAGTGATGTGCATTACCATTTGATGCCACTAGTAGCACCCAGCATTCAAAGACAGCTTAAAGAGATGGTTTATATCTCATGCCTCAGTACATTTCTCAACACGACAATACAGAAGCTTAATTCACATACCATGCTAAACTACAATTTTGTTTGCTCCCCTGTTGCAGCTTGTAAATAATAGGATGTACAGCTTAGCCATAACTGTGAGCTCAGCCCATGTATCACATCACACATCAAACTATATCATGACTTAACTAAAATTTGTTGAGTAAGCCAGAGTTGGCTAGGTTCATTCCTTACACTAAGCCATAAATCAGGTCTTATTAGCTAGAAAGGTTGATTCACATGAAATGCAAAGAGCCAGGTGCAATGTGCAAATCCAGCCACTAAGTATCTTCCCTGGTGCCTGATTTATGGGCCTCTGTTTATGGGGATATTATACATCTAGAAATCTGTACGGCTTACTATGAATTATTTAAACTATTAAACTTAATCAGCAATTACAAACACTAGCTGTTAAAGACTAATAAGTACCTCACAACACATCTTTTTTTTTTTTTTTTTTTGGTAGACAAGGCCCTAGTTTGTAAGATACTGTAGCATTACTGTAGGAAAGATGTACACTACAGGGAAAGGAATATAAACAACAATCAAAATATCTTAGTAATGTTTTTCATGCACATGTTGGAACTGATCAACTGACAATCCAATCCACACAGATCTGACCTATAAAACATCTGCCACAGCAATCCTGCCAGAATTTTAAAAATGCCTGAGAATTCCACAATTTTTAACACAACCGCCTAATGTAAGCCCGCTTTCTAGCATGTGTGAGTTCTTAAACTTTTGCCTGTGGCTAGAGTCAAGGGCAGCCTAGGCCCGAAAAGAAGTGGGGGGGGGAGCAAACAATAATTACAGCAGAAATCTGCCTCAAGTTAACTCCCTGTAGGCTGTTGCCAAAGACCCCAGAACAGTAGCACTTAAACTGTTTAACCCAATTATTCCTTTTCCCGGTCTTGAATAATGTTAGTACACCCACACCCAAAAAAGACTTTGTTGTTTTACACAAGTGTCACAGCAGCAGCTGCCCCAAATGGGTCCTCGACTCCTAAACCAGCAATTACAAATTGCTCCATTACCCCCAGGATATGCCCAATTTTTTTTTTTTTTTAATCTGCGCTCAGTCGTTACCGACTCTGCAGTGACTGCTTGG